GAATTCCATCTGCCGGCCAATGCCGGCTGTTGACCACTCGTAGGAGGGCCTTCTCTGTGGCTGCTCCGGCCCTTTGGAATGAGCTCCTGTGGAGATTCGGACCCGCGCTACCCTTCAGGCCTTCCGGACAGCCGTTAAGACCTGGCTGTCCCAGCAAGCCTGGGGTTGAGTTCCCCCCCTACTCGAATTTGCTGTGCTTGCTGTGTTTTTTAAATTGCTTGTATCACTGTCCTGTTTTTGTCTTACTTTTCTGTATTTGTTCCCCTTCCCTTGGTTTTTGTTCAGCCGCCCTGAGTCCCTTCAGGGAATAGGGCAGCTTACAAATCGAATAAATACCAAATACCAATACCAAACTCCCAGAATTCCTCCTCTCGTTCTTCATCTTGATGTGCGGACGGTGGGGGAGGGAGCTGGAACCGGTTCCAAACGGCACTGTAGATTTGTGGAACCTCTTCTATAGAAGAGCTTAGAACTGGCAGGAACCCACCCGTTCCAGAGGTACTATCTAAGGAAGCCTTTGAGTCAAGTTTCTAGGGTAGCGTTTCTGAAACTCAGCAAGATGTGTGGACTTCAATTCCCTGAATTCCCCAGCCAGCATTTAACTATACAAGTCCCCCCCCCTTTTTTTCCCCCTTCCATCCAGTGATATCTGATTTTCAAAGACTGCCTGGACAAGTCCCTGAAATTTTGTTGGGACGGGTTTTCCAGAAGTGGTTTGTCATTGCCTCTTTCCTAGGGCTGAGAGAAAATGACTGGCCTAAGATTACCCAGTTGGCTTTGTGCCTAAAACAGAAGAAGTGACGGTCTCCTGCTTTCTAGGCTGATGCTTCCTTTAACCCTACACCAAACTGGCTCTCATCCAACTCTAGCCCTAAACTAAAATCCAAAATATACTGGAAGGATATTGGCATAATGGCTTAGTGAAATGACGTTGGTGCTATAGTGTGTGAACCCATCCAGCTCATTATGAGAACTATGAACTATAGCTATGGATTCACCATGTGTGAAACCAAGCCAACTATAGGTATCAATTAAGCAAATCGCAGCTTACGGACACGTAGTTCTATCATAGCTTGATCTTTCACAGTATTTCCCTCAAATGACAGTATATGGAAGGCCCACTATTATTTAATCTTTGTGTAAGTGAATTGGATTTTTTAAAAATTCTAACACTGTTTGATACAAATATGGGTCTTATTTCATTACTGAGCTAGATATGAAATTACAATCCGGATGGAATATATTGCAAGACAGACATTTGTTTATTAATTATATTTCAAAGTCAGTGATGTGGACTAAACACCAGAAATTGCATAGAATCAGGAAATTGAATATTGTAGAATCTATTTAGTCAAGTCCTTGAAGCTTCCCTTATTATGGTGTGTGGGTGTGCGTGGGTGTGTAAGAATTCTCCATAGCAACTTTTGAGGCAATTAAATTTCATTGAGCTCTAAAAAGTAATTTCCTAACACTGAAACTTATTAGAACTGAAGTTAAGATGTTTGGGCTTTTAAATTCTTATTTGCTAAATTTTATAGTGCAGCAGTTTTGAGTAATCCTGGTACAATGCCATGCTTTTTAGCATGACTATTTGCATTTCTTCCCGATACATGTTGTTCGTTCCTTTGAACACAAATGAATATTCTCATTTTGAAGAGTTTTATAAATGCCAAAAGGGTATTTAAAAACCACAGAGACAAATTATAGGGGCTATAATTCAAATGTATTTGGGAATTATATGGTTACATTCGAAGTTTGGCACAGGCTCCCTCTGCTGATGCCGCAGTGTAAAACATTTGCTTATTTGAGCTCTGACTTGCAGACATCAAACTGAAACACCAAAGAGGCTGAATGGGCCACTCAACCTAGTCACTGCTCAAAACAGCAGACACGGATTTTGGACCATTCCCCAATTCCGCCTCCTGTTATGGAAAAAATTGCATACAAAAACCAGCTTTCCATCTAGAGCAATGCAGCAGGAGAGCAAATGTTATTTGCAAACAGAGATAAGTGCAAGCAAGTTGATAGGATCAATCCTTGAGAAGTTATCCAGGCGATTCTCACGGTCATTCTCAGAATCGATTGATATCCTCTAATATAGGTCAACTTTTTCTGTGATTCTGCATTTTCCTGGACATTGATAGCAGAGTTTGCGTGGAGGAGAGGGCTGAGGACGTCCTTGAAGCAAGATGACAAGAGTCTCATGGGTCACAAAGCAGATTGGTTGGAGATTTCAATGCTCACTATTGCTCTTTCCACAGGTTGACATCAAAGGTTATATTCTCAACATGATAAAACATGACTTACCAAGCTGGGTTCATACAACATGAACTAACAGTGTGGCTTATCGCAGTGTGTGAGCTCAAGCAATGTTGTGCAAAAGTAACAGCAACTTCTTTTTAAAGGTACACAGGTAAGTCATGATTTAACAGATACTTAAACTAGGCATTTGGGGCTGCATATGATGAACCAAATAGTTGGAAGAATTAAAATTTCAGCCAGCATATTTCAGAAGCTACAGTCCAGATACTCTGGGCAAAGTAGAGCTTTAATAAGTGACAAGAGCATCATTTTTTACCTGAAAATTTATTGAAAAATGCAATACAAGATTGAACACATATCTAAATGCTACATCTAATTTTTCTTTAACTACAAAAGTCCAAAATAACAACTACATAAACTATAAAGATTTACTAATTGTTTATTCTGTTCCTACTTTTTTTAAAAAGAATGAACTATTCTATACAATTGTCTTTAAAAAATTTACAAAGCTCCTTCATATCTGCAGTGAAATAGTGTGATTTAATGTGTAAAAAAGAGAACCAACACCCCCCCCAATAATTAGAATACATTTTTTTAAAAACTGCCCCTTGTATGAAAATGGAAAAAAAATCACAGTTTATGAATCCCCAACACCCTCTCAAGTCCCCAAAGTTAATTTGTACTTTAATTGTTGGCAAGTGAAAATCTATTTTTTTCCTTCTAATTTGACCAATTTGGATACTGCTGCTCTTCCTTCTGTACACACATTCATAGATAAATAGCTTCCATTTACTATACAGTTAAGAGAGTTTCTAGATAATCTCATAAATGGGGAAGGAAATAACTGGGAGCATAGTCATTTCATCATTATAAATAAATAGACTATATTTTATTTACTGTTCCAGTAATGGCAGTGCTGGTCCCCAGAAAACGAGAATGCTAGAAGCTGGTTTATTTAGTGATCTGTTAAGGTGATGGCGGCACATTGTGAGTACAAACAGCCTACAAATGCTATTCCTTCTCAAAACGTGAAAATCCCTATTGTCAATGGCAGACAGTTCAGGCCACGTTTCTAGTACCCTAAAACTAAGTTGTTTTCATTCTGTCTGCTGTGGAAAGCTAAATTAGCTTGGCAAATGCATTTTAAAAGGATTTATTAGCTCCTTTCTTTATTTTTCCAGCATGCTTGGCTATACAAAATAAAATATTGCTCATTTGCAGGATATAAGCAGCCAGGAGGAAACAAACTCACAACTCTTGTTCAGTTACAAAGGCTGCCAGCAGGAGTGCCAATTTACAAGCTCAGATGGTAAACATAAACCCTCTTCGTATCAGAAAGTGGATTTACACTATATGCAGGAAGGAATTTCAGAAAAGAAAATAATCCCTATGCCTCAGGATTCACATTCCTAAGAGGTTTAAAAGAGGACCCTTAAACTCTTTCAGCCTTTGCTAGTGTGAAGTTTAGTTTTGTAGTTTTGGGACAATAGGTAATAAAAGCTGGCAGGAGTTGTTGCACAATTAGACTGCCAGTGAAAGGAAGGTGTGTATGTGCATAGGGGTTTAAAATGTTCCATTACAATAATCAGAAGCAGAGTAACATAACACAATCATTTAGGTTTATCAGGGTATCCAACTGTGTCTAAGACTTGATTGGACAGGGAATTCTGGGAATTGAAATCCTCAAGTCTTAAAGTTGCCAAGGTTGGACATTCCGATGTATATCATGTAAATCAGCTTAATCTGCAAAAATATGAAGTTTTTATTGCCTTACAATGCTTTTTATCTTCAGGCATACTCAAAGGAAGGTGGAGGTCTTATGCCTGGCCATAAGTAGGAAAGCAAAACTTTTATTAAACTCCTGAATTCAAATTGCCTTGCTAATGAATATATAGAAACAAAAAGAAAAAAATAGTAAATTTGAATGATCCTTACTTTTCTTTGTCTCAGGAATCCAGCTGTCTTGTTGCCCAATTGCAATCTTTATCCTTTTATCTCGTAGAATAGTTTTTCATCTTTTCCATCCACATGTGTCCTGTGATTTTTAGAATTTCATGAAACTAACATATTCCTAAGTTATATTTAGGAAAACAATATCCTAAATACTTACACAAACTGCTAAATGCTTCTGATTATTGTAAAAGGAGGCAGGTAATGACACAATGCAGATATACCATCCCACCTTGGACTCCCTTATTGCACTCTAATGCAATACTTATTGCAGATTTCATTTCACACTTTTAGTAAATAAGCTAAAAATCAGAAAAAGGGAAGATGGGAATCATCTATTCCACAACACAAAAAATGGTGAATCAGTGAAATTAACCCTAGTGCATGAATGAAAATGGAGGTCAAAAGGTAAGGTGGTAGAAAACTCTGAAAATGGGAGAGCAATAGATGTAAAGAAGGCCAGGAAGAGATACAATCTGAAATGCATTCCCCTCATCATGTAAAGGTAATATCCTTTAATGCGGGATTCACATTCCATGCAAGAATGTGTAGGTTAGCTAAACAGAGCAGAACATCATTGGCTAGCTATCCATAGTGTACAAAAATCATGCTCAATTACAGCTGTACTTATAAACCATATGGAATACAAACTTCATGAATAATAGAATTCCGTAATAAATAATAGGATTATTTCAAAACTGCTATATGCTTTGAATAAAAGAGCAGTAAAAGCAGCAGAAATATATTTTGCACCAGTCAAAGTGTACCAAACAGTTGTCTTCCACAATAAATAGCTAGTTTTGTAATAAATAGATTAAGTGCCCAGAGTTTATTCTAGTTCAGTGTAAGATTGCTAGGAAGCTTACTCTACTGCTTTCACAATTACTTTCATTAATTCTATTACAACTCAATCCTATGTTTATTTTCCTGGGGGGGGGGGGGAAGCAGGATCTGTTTCCAGATGGGCTTCCCTCTGGCATCAATCAGCAATCATTGGAAACATGATGTAATGTCCAGAGCATATTAAAGCAAAACTGACCAAACAGCATTCCATCTCAAAACACTTCTAAAATGTTACAAACACTTCATTTTGAATGTAAAATTGTGGTTTCAAGCTCAAATGGGATGTTTTGTATTCAAAATATTTCACATACCACTACTTTTAAATCTTTCAATCCTAAAATATTCCTACTGGCTCTTTAATCAAAATGCACTCACATTTGAGGGGGAAAGGAACATGCAATATGACAGAGGGTTGCGTTATTCCAAATAGTAAATGAAAGCTTTTATTTACTGAAATTGAGTTTTTCTAAGAAAAGGTAGAGCTGCTTCTTGTTGTATCTTTACAGAGCTTTCACATATTTTAGGAAAAAAGAACCATCCAACTAAGCAATGGTCTATCTATTTTTGAAAGATGGGAATTCCAAACTGGAGTCCAATAACTGAACATGCAGATTGCAATACACATAGAAAAGTGAAGTATTTTGAAAAAGAGTAGTATCTGTCTTTTGTTTGAAAGTAATGAAAAATCAGCATTATTTTTTTTAAAAAAACTCCCACTGACCCCTTTCATAAATTACTTATTGCTCTTTCCCTGAACATATTCCCCAGGTGGTACATACCGTAGCTTTCTATGATGACACAATACGTACAGTACTAAGGTGCTGAGGACAGCAACCAATGCTGAGTTCTACTCTTTCATTCTAATTTAACAGCTAAGGGCATCATTTACCAAGGGCAACAACCTCTGTTCATGGGTTGCTGCTGCTGCTGTTGTTTTTGAGGGAAAGCAAGTCCTTTTATAAGAAGTTCTAAATGATCTAAAGCAAACAAGGGAGAGAGATACAGCACCAGTGAACCATGGTTAGGGTTGCCCCCAAGAAAAGCGACAGAGTACTGTCTTCTGATGGAAATTAATATATTCCCTCTCCAAATAACTTTTCATTGAGGAAACAAGATCCTATTCTGACTGATAGCCTTCAATACCATCTTCATGAAAGGAATGCCAGATTGTCTTTAACAACTGAATAGGAATTATACCCCTTATCCAGATGCATTGCCAGAGCTCTAGATTTAGCTTTTGTTTAAAAGGTATGATTTTAAATCTTTATTTGCCTCTCCCCCGCCCTTGCACAAAAAAACAAACAAAAAACAAAACCCTCCACCCAAACCTACAAATGACTATGGGGTAAAAAAAAAACCCACCATGATAAATCACAGCCTAACTTAATTGTGCTCAGGGTCTCTTACTCTTAAACTCGTAGCTTAATGGGGCTAAACAGCAGATAGGATTACAAGAAACATCTACTGAGGACTGTGAAGGAAAACAAAGGTGGAGGGAGGAAAGAGCAGATGAAAGTTGAATGCCTTACCACAATTCATTTAAAAGCTTTACAATTCACAGTATAAAAAAGCAATTGTCCCTGAACCTAGGCAACTACTGAATTACTTATATAAACACCACAACCTCTGGATATGTTCAAGCATCTAAAGACAGACATATCCACAAAAGCGAAGGAAATCCACAGGCCAAGTACGCTGTGGTTAGGATACTCTGGACATTTTATAGAGCGACCAATCAAATTAAAGTTTTGCACACAGTGATTTTTCTGACGAGGGTGGCTACTTCTAAGTCACTGATATGCCACACGGTAACCTATTCAAAAGGTAGGAGAGAATGCAAGCTACTTGAGGAACAGAAAGGTGAATATCATCACACTTGAAGGCAACATTTTTGATAAGCCCTGTGTACTCTTTTTGACATCTTAATACAGATTCAGAAAATGGCATAGGAAAAGGAAATGAAAAAAATGATTTTTTTTTAAAAAAAAGCACATCAGCACATGTAAAATATGGCAATTTTTTGGTCACAATATTAAAAACAATGAAAAGGGACATATAGTATTAAAGATAATCCCGAGTAAACATCAAAAAGCATAACTTCCTAACAATAAATGATAGAATGTGTGACTGAGAATAAATCTGGCAAGTTTGAGGTCATGGTGTTCGAAAGTTTCTTTGTAGTTCTGCTGGTATGTCTTGGGTGGCCTTCAAAGAATGAAGCAGGCATCACCTACAAAGATACAAATTCCTTAATGAAAATGGACACACATTTAGTATCTTACAAAAATGTTTGTGAACTTCTGATATTCTGCAAATGGGACGAATGCATGTTATATAATATTTTCAAATAATTGATATTCATCTTCACTAGAAAGACTAAACTTTTTATAGCAACCTAGAAAAATGAAAAATCATACATATCTCATTGCAGAATGAACATGAGAATGCTGTGGCACAGTAGGAAAGACGTTTTCTATGAAAACTAAACTAAATCCATCAGCAATGGTGGTGCAGTGGATAAAATGCAGTATTGCAGGCTAATCCTGTCCACTGCCAGGAGATCAATCCTGATCTACTCAAGATTGATTCATCCTTCCTAGGTCGGTAAAATGAAGATCCAGATTGTTGGGGCCAATATGATGACTCTGTAAACCGTTCAGAGAGCGTTGTAAACACTGTTGAATGGTATATAAGTCTATGTGCCACAGCTAAGTGTTAATGCTATGTGAAATAAATACATGTTCCTAAACTTATACATAAAGTTTGCTCAAATGTGTCTAATTATGAGGATCAGAATATGAATGTTGAGATGAGAACATAGCCATGTTATATTTGAGAAAAAGTAGCAATAATGATTAATCATCTTTGCTTTCCTTATTTTTATGTGCATAAGTGTTTCAAAGTAAACTACCATAGTTAAGTTTGTATTTTAGATTATGTTTTAACTTTAAAAATCAGCCTTTTATTATATCATTACTTTGGATCTTTTTTTCTTACTTTTGTCTGATAATGGGACATAACTGAAGAATAATAGGATAAAAAATTAAATAAGTACATAAAATCCATATGCCTGAAGGCAGCCTCCAAGGATACATAAATATAGGATTCCTGTGTACAGGTTTGCTCAGAAATGGCACTCTGGTCTGTTGCAATGTGTACTCAAAATCCAGAAAACTCCCCCCCCCCAAACAACACCCACTAGGTTCCCTAAATTGACCATAGGATCATTCTTCCACGAATAACATAGTTCTAAAATCTAAAAGGTTAAATCAGAACGCGATGCTCGGTCAATACATGGAATTAAGGATGCTTCCTAGCACAAGGGCCCAGTTCTTGTTCACTCGTGCATGAAACAATTCTTGACTACCTGTATAGCTCTCGGGCTTTAAGTGCTGGCGAGATAGCTCACTCATAAAAGTGGTGCCTTGTTGAGAAACATTAGCATTGATCAAAAGGAAACAGGAGAGAAAATACTCTAAGCACAAAAAAACCCCATGCTATTTTGGTCTTTATGTACAACTAAATCACCATCAAACAGTATGTCAGGTGAAACGAATCTATAGCATAAATAATCCATAAGAAGAAACACACAGACAATTTCTCAAATTAAATGGTGTGCTGAGGTTTCATTCCCAAGTTGCACATTATCTCCATACTGCACTGGGAAGAACATGAATAATTAATTTATTCTTAGCTTTATCAGAGGACTTCTCTACAAATTTCAGGTAACTTGCAATGGATGCCCACAGTGATTGAGACGTCTGCTGCAGGATTGAACAACGCAAGCGACTGTGAATGGTTTTTTGTTATCTTGAACAGGTCACACCAGTTGCCCTTTTCTTAAAGTACAGATTAAAAAATAATTTGAAAAGTAGGACTTTATTAGAACTACATAAAAACTAAAAATATGGAGAAGGTAAAAAGGTCATTGGTGAATTTGAAACATTAATTTTTGCTCCATTTAGCATTCTTAATGTTGCTTCTAAGGGCAATAGCAGTAGCACCCAATACTTTTTAAATAGTTTACTATAGGTTTCTCTCAGCCAATTGGTGGTGAGTAGACTGCTTATAATAGTGCAGGAACAAGACCTGGAAGGTAACAAGAAGTACCATATGACATGATACTTGCAGATCTTATGTTCTACAGACCCAACCTATTTAATCCTAAACATTCATTGCTACCACCTTTAACATTAGTGCGAGACTAAATTTCAAGGGTATTTATGATATGATTCACAATTAGAGTCAGAAACAGGCTACTATTTTAAACATTCTCATTTCTACTATGGATGGAATCTGCCCCCCAATATATGTACATTTTAGCAGCCGTTCGTGCCTGTAAAGATTTACTATGATGGATTAAACTTGAGATAGACAAACAGGAAGCTTCTTTAAGACTCCTGATAACAATCTTTATTTATGACTAAAGTTGAAATATTTTATAATGAAGTAGAGCTAAAAGAGAGCTTACCTGGTATAAACTATTTATTCTGCAATCTCAGTCTCCTGATGAACGACAACCTTGGTCACAGACATATCTGGATGCTGCTCTTTAGCTTCTTTGATGGCCTGAACAAGAACCTGAAAAAAAAAGAGTATAAAGAATGCATTATTTCTGTGCTGCCTTACATAGTTTGCAGTCTGATAGCCTATGGAATGGGGGGAGGAGATCAGCCTGTGTAATTTTACAATCAGCCTGATCAAGTCTAACACTTGAGGGAAGACTATGTTAGTGGTATCATAGCAATATTTTATCCAAGTGTTTTTTTAAATTTCATTTTAATTATATATAATTACAACAATCTCTTACTTGATCATGATCAATGTCTGTGTCTCCAGTGATGACAATTCGTTTTTCAATTCGTGTTTCTGAAATTCCACCTTTTACAGTCTATCATGAGAAGACAAAATTTAACGTTTTTATAATTTAAAAAATGATAAAACCTACAGAGATTTTAACTATTTTAAAAAGAGAAACATAATCAATTTATTAAATAGGAATGCAAATAAAAACCTAATTCATAGATAGCATTAGTATAAACTTGTATCATATTTTGAACTATCCTTCTCATAATTATGAATTCATCATTTTCATTTTTTTACAAAATTTACAATAGTGAATCAAATAGTGTCCCATTCTTATGAACCATAGGAAAATTGCTTTACAAAATACAAAATTAGATTATAATTATTTTTCCAGCAGGCCTGGGACTGTTGACCTCACTGTTGAGGTCCAGCCCCGATTAGAATGAATGTATGAGGGTGTTGCTGTTTTTAAACTGTTTCTTTTCTCGTTATGTGGTTTTTTTTTTCATATTTTTTGTAAGCCGCCCAGAGTCCTTTGGGATTGGGCGGTATATAAATATATTTAATTAATTAATTAATTAATTAAATAAATAAATAAATAAATAAATAGCATAAAATGATTGTAAAAGTGAAGTTAATATTAACAGACTCTTTTTTAAATATGTGTGGAAATAGAAAATATTTAGTCAGAACTCAATTAAGCTGAAACTAAACTTTTAAAAAAATGCTTTAGTAAGAAAACATGCAATTCCTTGATTCTCAATTTTAATGTAGATATAATTTGAGGCAAAGCCATATTGCAAGACACATTTGTTTAACTTTTTTTTTTCCTCTGTGGTTTCTAACACTGGCTAAGCAGGTTTCCCCAACTTCACCATAAATACCAGAAGTTCAAGTATCAAAACAGGTTAGTTCTTTGTATGTAACAAAACTTTCAAGAGGGCACCTGTAACTCAAAGTAAGCCATATTGGGCTCAGTGTATTTTTTTTACTTTATATCCATTGCCAAAAGCTGTAGATCTAAAGGATAATTTGAGCTCATTGCAACTTTATAACTATTAATGTAGACATGGAAAAGACTTTATATAGCCAAGGAAATAAGATCCTTCTCTTGGATACAATATTATTTTATTTCTAAAACAACCACAATTGTCATCAAAATGCAAGCTTTTCTGATCTGCAGCAACACTATTTTATAACAAAAAAGTGCTTCTGTGTTCTGTGCATTCCACTGCCCAATCCTGCGAGGATTACCAAGGCACACAGAAAATGAAATTTATGCATGTATTTTTTTTTACATGCATGCAGCTTATCAATGAGACCAAATTGTTGTTTAGCAGTGGTTTTACCTTCGTTATCTGTGTGGTCGTAGTGCTGCTGGTGGTCTCTGAAGTGATAGTCTGAGCAGTTAGGAGAACTCCAGGATCTAAATCCCCATTGCCATCATCAATCTAAGACAGAAATACAGGAAATATAAATGACTTCCTTGCCCATCTACAGTGAGTAACTCACTTGGCAGGAAAGACGACATTCATAAAAAAGAAACTGAAAGACTGCTTCTAACTGAAGAGAGATAGCATTACCTAATCAACTACTGTATACATGTAGGACACTAACAACAACATTCTGGATCAGACAAGGCCCATACCAATTTAATGCAATCCTCCCAGTAAACAATTAGATGCTGTAGGAAGTTTACAAACAGGACCTTTGTACAACTGCATCTTCTCAAGGATATGTTATTAAGAGCTGCTCAGCTCCCTGAGGTAATAAAGGTAGCAATTAAATTCCATTCCTGTCCCATTGTCTATATACAATGAAAATAATGTACTTTTAAAAATCTTTTGAGATGTTTTTTCAAAGCAGTAACAAATTTCCTTTTGTTGAACTTATACATAGTTTTCTGCTTAAAGGAAGAAGGTTTGTCAAAAGCATCCAGTTTATATATTTAGGTTGAGAGACCAGAGCTACCAAGTATATTTGCCTCACGGGGGGGTGGGGGGTGGGAAGCACTTTGCAGCTACAAAAATAATAAGAAAATGGTTTCCCCTCAAGTCTATTTTTGGGTAGATTTTTGAAAAAAGCTTCCAATACATATGGCTCCTTCTGGTACCATGCAACTTATCTTAGTGAGAGTATACACTGGGACATTTTTAATTCAAGAGTACAAACTACCAAAGATGGTGGATATCTTTTTCTTTTTTTTTTTTACTCTGGGACTATTACTTATATTTCCAGGATCCACAAATAATGATTCTTGAGAACAAATTTCCTTCACCAATGTAAGCCGGCTCAGCTCTCAGCAGACACTTGCCTAATTCAGAGCTGGATATCATTTGGCTAGGAAGCACCGCACTCAAAAGATTTTTCAGGAAACTTACAGCCACAAAGTGGCCTCATCAGGCATGGAAGGAAGCAGAGCTGTTTCAATATTCTGAAGATGGTGTTGGTAAATGTGGTGCACTCTTTTAGGTCTTATATTATCATTTTCATCTGTTTCCCATTTCAAAAGGTTGGGAGAGCGTATTGTCTGCTTTTCAGCAATCATGACCAGAAGGAGCTCTGTGGACCAAAGTAGGGGAACTCATGCAATCCTGTTTCAGAAAAACACGACTTTTTCTGATAGAATAATGATATTTCTCACAGCAATTGTCACAAGTGGAATTCCCTGCAGGAACCAAAATATCCCACTGAAATAAAATGTTCAAAATCTTCTAGAATAAAAATTGTGAACGAAACTGCTTGGATTTTCTAGCATTTGTACAAAATATTACAATAAAATTTAACGCTAGATGTGAAGCAGCCTACCTGTGCAGCTTCGTAAGTTATAGTCTTGGTTTCTGTGTGGACAATTGGGACGTCTTTAGTTGGGATTTCACTTTTCACAGTATTAGACACATCGGAGATGGTAACAGTCTGAGTTTTCACAAGAGGGGGCTACAAAATAGTTTCAAAGTAAAGTACATTTAGTCACCTTATATCAGTATTATTTCACAGAATTCCAATGTGCAACTTATAGCTGCATCATGAACTCAACTATACATCACAACTGTTATGTTGTTTGCACTCATTTGCAGAATTGTGAAAATTAAGATGAAATGCAATGATTTCACACATTTTAAAAATCTGATTGGTCAAATAATGGGAATGGATTCACTTCAGTGAATCATTATTAATATTTAATGAGAAATTTAATCACAGACATCTACATATATACTACCATATATGTGATCTACCATGTAGGAAGAATATCATGATTTTTTACATGCCACAGTATTTATTTATTCAGAAACTAGTTGAATTTAAATTGAATGTAGGAAACCTAGAGAGTGCATAGGCAACACCTGCAGTTTGAAATGTGAAGTCCACCAGTTTATATTAAATCACTGCCAAATCACCATTTATGGATATTCAAGTATTAAGAGTAACAGGAAAAGAAAAATCAGCTGTGCCACCACCTGATAATTAACTCAAAGAGAACATAATGTTAGTAAAAGGACCACATAACCATCGTATCCCTTTGCATACCCAAAGTATCACCTTATTATCAGATTAGATATTTAAGGTTTTTAGCAGATAAGATTAATAAGGAAAGAACACTGAAGCAAGCAAGTAAGCAAAAAAAAATACAATCAGCTGGAGGAAATGGTATTTCCAAATCTGTTGACTCCAGACTTTGTTGTAATGAATAAATTATTAGTATTAATAATTAGTACTTAGTTTTTCTGATATATTAAACATCTTTAGCTTTTTGAATTTCCCTTTCTTTGCACAGATCAAGAAAAATTTGTTTAATTAAGACATGTCAATTTCAGATAAGAATGAAGAAGGGAGTAGTAATTTATATAGACAGTATGAAATTGAATAACTGGTTAGTTTTCAGGAATTACTTCAGGACATCAAAAACTAATCCTTCTTCATGGATATGTAAATATGCTTGCTCCAGTGTTTGCAAAGTGACTCAGAAAATGTAGTACAAGCGTTTGCAAAAGATATTCTATGTTCACATTTACTACCTGGTAACAGCGAATGAGAGCAGGAAATTCATGATCAACATTTGGATTGTAATATTCTCCATTTAGCTCTCTAAGTGGCTTGTTGGTAAATTTTGTTTCTTCAAAACCACAGGCTTCCTCCTCTTGCTCATGGAGGTACAGTGGAGGTGAAACAGGGATTACAGATACTTCCACCTCAGCCTGTTTAAAATCCTCAGCTTCCTTTTCCATATTTGAGCAAAATCCCTTTTCACACCTTAGATCTTCCTTGCTCTCAAGAGCAGTGGCACCCTCCTCTTTTTGCTCCTTGCTGCTTATTGAAAAAGAGTCTGATTCATGAATTTGTGTAGACTCCAGTGCAGTTGACATTTGGCTCTCACTAAAGCCTACTGAATGCTTTGAAACCTCCCATTCAAAGTGAGAGGCAATATTTTTCCCCTCTGTCACATCATCTGCATCCTCTTTGAAGGGACAGTCACGCACACTCTAAAAAGAAACGAATACACAAAAAAGGCCAGAAAGAATTAGGAATAGAATGCACTTCATCTAGAAAGAGTGCAAAATTTAGAGTAAGACTTCGTAGGGCCTGTGTACACTATTACAATGGCTGAAGATGAATATTTCAAGTGCATTCAAAAAAGGCTGTATTATAGTCACTCAGACAGACAATAACAGTCTCACTTAGTCAAGGTCAAGAAGTTGTTTATATTCTCCTCTTTGTCAGAGGAATTTGTCCTGGTCCAGCTCCAAGTCTGAAGTGAGCAAAGCTACTGCAGCTTTCTCTGTAATAACAGCTACTCTTTCAATCAACTAAGAAGTCATTGGACCAATCAATCAATCTCCTGCCAGAAGGAGAATAAGGCTGCTTTTGAAGAGGTTGGACATTTGGAGATCATGGCAGTAGACACAATCTGGTATTTGCCACTTTAAAGTGGAGTAAGTTTGGAGAAGGAGAGGGTTAGCTTTTGCTGCCCCACCTGTACTATTTCACTGTCCCCTTCCTGTCCTAAACTCCTACAAGGTGCACTGGGAAAATATACATAGCACATTACTCTCACTTACTTGTAAAACACAGATCTATCATACTGAAAGCTCATGTTTTGAAAACATAAGCACATAATTAATGCTTTCATATTGCTGAGGAGTAGGATTCTAAACACAAATTTCAATTTCTTATAATTGAAAAATAATACTGTCCACTCTGCAGCTACAGGTATGGCTTTTAAAAAGAGAAATGAGGAATTTTCTAAAGTGTTCCTTTGGAAACAACAGGTTTTCGTATGGCTTATAAAATGATTTTTTTCATACATAAATCTAGGAGTCATCTTAATTGCTGAAGCTTTCAACAAAGCTAAACTTCTCAACAAAGCACAACGTAAAGTATTACTGACTTTTTTTTATAAGAATGATCCAAATGATATAACGACAAGAAAATCCCAGGGATACAACAGAGATGATGAGAAGCTACCTCATTATTTATATATTTACAATGATATTGCTTGCCTAAAATTATCTGACCGCAAATGTCAAACAGGAAACTTTTGCATGCTATCTTCAACTTTTATTGAGAAATGAGTAACAGCATAAAACAAAGAAATCCACTCAGCCTATTAGAAAGCAAGGGTATCATTAGCATCAGAGCCAAGTAAGAGAATTTCACCGAGGATGATGCTATACTTCTTCCATCGTGCGCCTGTTGGAAAGTTCTCAACTAGATCATTATAAATCTCAGCAAGCTCTCCTATTACAATTTGAGGAAAGGAAGAGTCATAGAAAAAAGGCAAGGATGAAAACATGCTTAAGATTAGAAATAGTATAGAAAATTTGCCTGGTCCAATCACCCACTGAATAAGATATAATACTTTAAATAGGATAAGATTTGTGGGCAAAGCCAGAAATTAAAGAACCCCAGCAATAAAGGATACTTGTTTCCAAATCTAACTTTTCATATTAAGTGAAAAGCCTCAGGGAATGAATGGAATTAATATTTGTAATGAATGACATGACTTTGCTGTAAGGGATTGAATCTTATTAAAAACATTATAAAAAGCTTGTCAAATATCCAAAGATTGAGAAATATTCTACAATAAAGGAAAATTTTGTACAATTTTAACTGGAAGTGACAAGAAATCACTAAATGATTATGCAATAACCGATTATGTTTTTTTTTAATTGCTTATTCAATGAGGAAAAATGAAAGCCAATTGGATAAGGGAAAAAACACTTGAATAGTCATTTTATTTGTCTACATTAAAATAGTGAATTCTGCACTGACTAAGCAGATCAAATAGTATATGCAAAATTTTGTTTTCAAAAATCTTTTTGCTTCTGTCAAATAGTACTGCATGTATAGAGACTGACTATTAATATCAGCATTTAAAATTTAGCATCTATATGTCTGATAAACAAAATATTCAAATAGTGGGGCTGTTTGGATGAGACAAACTCCAAGACCGAATGTTAAATATGAACTTGTACGTATGAACTTGTAACTATTGGTTCTTTCCTTCTCAATAATTCTTTCTAAAGGTGTCTGTTCCTACCACCCTGTACCCACCATGGTAGCAAAATGATGAATGTAGATGATGGCATGATGCAAGCTTTGCCATGCTGTATTTGTGTCATGATATCACATTCAAATATACAAAGAGTATATTATAACACACACATTATTTGTCCCTACCACCCACCAACTCAGGATGCCTAAGACCCCATGTAAGTAGTCTGAGTTACATATTTTAACCTATTGTCTGCAATTTCTGCTTTTTTTTAGCTAGAGAAGCAAACCTAAAATAAATAACTTGTTTTTTCTGATTAGTGATGACAGAAACCTCAAGTTAAAGAAAAGATCAATAATAAGCAACTCAATGATGGCAGCTTATTATCAACATATATTAGCAGGGATAAATTAACGTAAACTGCAGACTTTGATGCAGGACACAAAAATTTTAATTATATTAGAAATAGTTTGTCAAGTTCAGGGAATATTCTGCCATAACTATATTTTTTTATTGGAAATGCTATTTATAAAACAGGCACACTCACTTTTAAAACATAACAGCTACAGAAGTTTAGCCACATGCAAATTAGTCGAGGGGTGAACACATATCATTTGATATGATGAATTTGTTCTTGCAATGTAGCTTTTTTGTAGCTCCTGTATGTTTATATTTAGAGTAAACAGATTTGTTGCACCAGGAATTGCCAGTCTTCCTTTTGTATTAACCCCTGCTATTCAATATCCTTTCCCAGATTCCATAAGGAGTTCTATTATGGCTTTCAGAAAAGTTTGAACAATGTTCCTTTAAGTGTGCAATTCAATGAAATTAAAAATAAATTTAATGGAAAACAGAGTTTTGATGATAGGAACTCTATACTGATATTCAAAGAAATTATTTGAATTTGAATTTTAATAGATGTGTATGCTGCCCAATCCTGAAGGACTCCGGGCGGCTTACATAAAAACAGTTTAAAAAATAAAATACTAAAAAAGTTAAAATACAAAACAGAGTGAGTTAAAAAAGGATACAACATACACTCGATGTTAATGGGGCTGAAGCTCAATCAGAGATCAGCAGCCCCAGGCCTGCCAGAACAGCCAGGTCTTAACAGACCTTCGGAAGGCCGAGAGAGTAGGGAGGGTCCGGATCTCAGGGGGTAGATCGTTCCATAGGGCCGGGGCAGCTACAGAGAAGGCTCTCCCCCAAGGAGCGCCAGACGACATTGTGTAGTCGACGGCACCCGGAGAAGGCCCACCCTGTGTGATCTTATTGGGCACTGGGAGGTATGTTGCAGGAGGCGGTCACGGAGATTATATAAAACAATGTTCCAACACTGGAGGTTTTAAAGAACAGATTTGTTTCAAATGGTATAGGGTATCTTTCTTGAGCAGAGGGTTGGACTAGAGGACCTCCAAGGTCCCTTCCAACTCTGTTATTCTATTAGTGTAAGACTTAATTTGGACATTTCTATAGCTGGCTATCTATATTTTGTATTTTAATTATTTATATTTGATATTACTTTTTTAAAAAAATCTCATTTAACAAAAAGTCTTATATCCATTAAAATGACCTGATTGTTCAGACTGCTCCAGACACATCTGTAATAAACAGTTTATTAGGTAATGATCATCAATGTGCTGCAGGTTATTTTCCTTGCCACCAACTAACTTGATGTTAATTATTTAAGATTATCTAAAAAACAGCAAAAAAACTAGTATGCTGTAAAGCAAGTGTCAGTTCAAGCATTACATTTAATCCCAACAATGCCTCTGAATCCCACATATATCCCATAGGCATTCTTGGAAAATAAAAATAATGGAGGGTTGCATCCTATTATTTTTGGGAATAATACAATATAAAGGGCATCTTAAGAGAACAGCTGTATGAAGGACATCAGTCTCATAAATCTACTTCATACAAATGAATGCATACTGAATGCTTGAGAACTAATTGGTAAGAACGGTCATATTGATGCTCTCAAAATTCCAAGTGTCTCATTTGTCCAAAAATTGGAGAACTTGGGAACTTCACTCTAAGATACCACTTAAAAGCTTTTTGATACAAGGAGAAATAGGATAATGCCACTTTTTTTTGCTAAAGAAAATATGAAATGAAATTGCCGACTGCTTTTAATGTTCTGTTGGTATCTTTGAACATCAGAAGCACCTAACAGCTGACTCAAGATAACTCCTGTATTAGTTTGCAAAAGTTACAAATTTCCACTCAAAAGCTTCTACTAATTTGTTAATAGCTCCATTATTAACACTGCAGTGAATGGAGACAGCTATTCTTGATAGGTTTTTGGATCAGGCAGAGGATCTATATTAAAATAGCATTCAAATAAAAAAGGGGATAAACTAATATATAGTGCCAAGCAATCAGCGATAAACCCCTTAAAATTATTTTGTTTTTCAAAAACCTTCTGTAAGAATTTTCCTTAACAAGTGGATATTATGAGTATTTCAAGCAATGCATCAATAATATTAGATTATCCCCATACTGGAAATATGTACAGAAGCAGCTATATTTAAAATGTTTAAAATGCACAATTGGTAACATACTACACTCACCAGCAAGAATTTCCAGAGACCAACTAGTGAAAGATAATACATTTCAAAAGGGTCAATAAAACTTTAAAAAGCAGTAATATGAAGCACAAAGACAACATTCCAAATTTAACTTGTTTTCATTTGTACCATTCTTACATTAAACTTCAAAAGTTTGGGTGGGAAACACAATAGACTATCATTAATTTATAACTGCAAACTGGATGGATTTTAAAACTTAAATTACTCAATAATAAATTGAGTATTGTGGTTCTGCTTTTCAAAATAATCAGGGATAAACAAAGGATAATTCTAATGAAACCATAAAATGAGTATTAAAAGTTTGATTGTAGGGATCAAAACCATTCTTTTCGATATTCTGTGTTCTTATTGTAGTGAAGACTTTTAGGAATAATGATAAATGATTAATTTCCACTATTTTGAAGTTATCAACCCTTTCCTTCATACTACATGGTTAGATAGCTCTCTAAAATCTTAGGTAGAGCCCAAGTTTTGCCTTTCAAGATTCTTTAGCTACTGTTCAGTAAAAGGATTGTCCTGAATTATTACTGAACAACAATCCATATATAAATAAGATACATAAAACAGAAAATAACATTTGTTGCCCATTCAATCACTAAATGCAGGTTGATCTAAACCTATGCATTAGCCATTCTCTTGCTGTATGATCTTTTGCCTAATGTAATTTTTTAAAAAAAAATACATGTACTTAATTCAATGTTTTATAAATAATCAAGAACAAACTGAACCAAGTAATTTATGGTTGGAACTCACCCAAATGGTCTTCTCAGCCTTGCCATAGTTCATAAAGTAGTAAGATGGAAAAACTTTGTCACCCTGAACTCATCAAATTTCCTTATATAACCTAACATAAAAAAATTTGGTGCCCATTTTATTTATTTATAAGAATTTATATAGCTGCCCATCTCACAAAAAGTGACTCGGGGTAGTGTACAACAATTAATTGACTTGTTCGTGAACTTTGGTACGTGCTTTTATATTCTACTTTCAGAAAAATTGATAATTTAGGAATATTTTGACTGGAGGTCTTCTGGTGGTATAGCAGAATAATTAAAAACATCAAAAAGTAAAGCACTAAAAATGACACACACACACACTTGAAAAAGAGAGCTTAGCAGTAAGTATCACTAGCTATTTTTAAACTTATAAAAATTAAAAGTATAATACATCTTACTGGTAAAATTCCATTCCATAGCCTCATCTGCAGGAACACCCATTATATGATTACTATCCATCTCACCTCAGAAGATTTGATCATACCTAGGTGGGTGAAAGTGTTCCTTAAAACAACTAAGTCCCAAAATATGGAAGGCATCATTTAAACCTTCTGTTAAAAAATAGATTAAAAGACACTGCAACTGCACACTGGGACCCATATTCTATGGGTCCCAGTGTGTTACGATTCCAGAACTCTGATGCAACTGACGAGTCTCAAGTAGTCTAGCCTTAAGATTATTAATCATTACATGTGGTCACTGACGCTATTTAAACTTCCAAAGACAGGGATGGATCTAGTATCACATGGTAGCTATAAATGCAATCCTTCATGAGTCAAAGGTAAGTCCATGCAGAGAAGGTCAAAGGTTAATCCTTTTTTGAGTGACTCATTGATGATAGGTGGTTTGTTTAGCTTACATGGTTTGTATATTGCAAATACTGCTTCATCTTTTTGACTATGACTAATGGCCTTCACTCCAATATCTTAGGTAGTGTGGGAGTTATACAGAAAAATACAGGAAATTCTATAAGCAACAATATAACAGCATCACCATCAGAAGATAACAATGTAGAGAGAAATGCAGCTAACTTAAGCAATGGCTCAGACCCACATCTTTAAAAGAAGATCATGGCCCATGGTTTTGAAAGCAGGTAAGATGTCCAAAAATTAGTGGACCTATACTTTTCCCTCAGGCTGGGGCATATTAATCTATATAGACATGACTGCACAACGGAAAAAAATTCATTTTATATTTCAAAACTCTCAAAATGATAAACACCTCATATGCATTTTTCACCTGCACATACAACACAAACATACTGTATATAATTCTAAGTAATAAACATTTTAAAGATTAATTTTAAAATATCATCTGAATTAGTTAAACTTCATTCATATTCAACTTTGCTCAATAATTTAATTGTCACACACCTCCTTTCTAGATTCAAGATTATAGCTGTTTAGGCTGAATACTGCAAATCTGCTCTCAAAAAACTTGTGAAGGTGTCCTCAATTTATTCTAGGAGTATAAAATCCATTCATCTGTGTTTGCATAATGCAGTAATGAAGAGTCAAAGTCAGAACTTTATAATTATGTTTTAAAATTATACAAATAAATTGATATCAAATAACATCTGAGTGTTTCAAAGTTTAAGCAACATGCAAAGATTTAAATGAACAAAATATATAGTTAGATGTCAGAACCTCTACCTAAAGTAATGTTTAGTTATGTGTTAACACTACTGCAAATAGTATAAAGAACATCATGCATTAAAGTCCACGCACATTTAGAACATACTAGTTTCATACAGACAGGTGCTGCAGGAAAAACAAAGCAATTTAGTAAATATTCCGGAGTAAAGGAAAGCACAGAAAAATGTAGAAAAAATATTAAAGTAATGATAAGAGAGTAATTTAAATTATAAATTACTGCTTCCAGAGAGTTATTGGCTCTCTATCATTCTAAGCCAATCTCAACAGCAACTAGAAGTTACAATCTTTTAAGTAAAATCATACAGAGAGGATAAATGATTCACAAATATGAATCTACGAATACATAGGCAGACACAGAAATACCCTTACAATTAATGTGAGGCATCATGTGCTGCAAATCCACTTTATCCCTGCCCAGACTGTTCTTGAAATAAGTCATAATTCACCCCACTGCATTATATTGATACACAAATCACATTTCCCAAAGAAGTGGCTTTAAGACAGAGTTGTGAAAAGTGTTTTAATAGCAAGATGTAAAATCTATTTTATAATACCAAGGGAATTAAATCACATTGGTTTAATCTGCTCTCTGGATATACATCTCTGAATTATTCTGTTTCATTATAAATGGAAGTTGTATATTTTTTTGTTTATAGAATCATGAAACAAGTTGGAAATAGATCCAACTTTAAAAATGTCTATAGCAGGTATTCTCAGGTATACTGATTTTTTTTCAACAATTACTGCCCCCCCCCAGCTCTTTTCCTCAACATCCAACTTTAACAGCAAGCCTATACTAATACATGCAGACATGAGTCTTGAACATGATAGAAGCCATCCAAGCAAGTATATCATTGACACAATTGGATTTTTAGGGATTGCAATATTAAAATTGGTCACAATAGAAGTTGCCTGATGTTCCGTTATCTCCCCAAAATACCAGGTTATGTATTGAATAATTACATCTTTTAAAAAGCAGAATTTCTGAGAAACTGAACTACAGTCAAAAATAAAATAGAAAGAGTAAGACAGCAGTTTTAGCCAGAAATCAAAGCGTGCAGAGTCTTGTTGATATTTCATATAAGGCTCTGTATGTTCCTTAATCACAGAAAAACCAGCCACCACATAGTCATTGCAAGGATCACAAATAGGGACATCAGAAAAGGAAAGCGTGGAGAAGAAACAATGTTAGTATACAGATGACATGTTTTGAGTGTTTTCTGCTCCTCGGGAACTGGAATAGAAATTTTGGCCTGGATTTCTTCAGTTGCTCGATGGGGTAAACTTCCCTCAGGAACTTTCTCTTGCTTTTTAATATAGTCTTCATCCTGCACTAACAGAGGGCGTTCCTGTGTCTGCTTTCATGGTAGGAGATCAAGAAAGACAGAGAGATGAACAAAATGACTGATGAAAAATGCTCAAAATGATACTTGGGGATATGCAAGGACTCAAATGATAGAAATTGTCAGAATGACAGCAAATGTTTTGTACCAGTTATGCAACTAATTCCTCTGTTAACCTTACAAAGTCGAAACCAAATTCCACAGAGAAATTAGCTGCTTTCTAACTGACTAAACAAATTCTGAATTGCTAATAGTCCTTTTGCAGAAACTCATGCTAAATCAACTCTATCCATGGGATAAAATATATATTTGAGTGTTAAGATATAGAATTATGTATGCAATAATAATAGTGTTGCTTTACAAACAGAACTGATATCATACAAAATATTGGTTGTGATTTCCTATGCTATACTGAAATTTAAAATTGTACTTTGTTAGAGCTGATACTTCAACTATAGCACAAAGTTAATTGTTTGAATACTGAAGAAAGTATTGTCATGGAAGACACCATGTCTACCTCCATGTTACATTGTGATTCAAGTGAACTTTCCTAAAAACAAAGAAAATGCAATGTGCATTTCTAATAGTAAGATTACAAAGAATATATTTTATTCTATATTTTTATTTGCATATGACATCAGAGTGTAAAGAATTTAAATATGAGTAGTATTTTGCAGCATTATGTGAAAACTGAGCTTAAGCCGGAGAATTCTGAAGTTGATTTTTTCCCCCATGTATGACAAATGAAAATTGCTATCTAGGACAGGAAAAAATTGGCTCTAAGCTCTCTCAGTTGATTCAGTCTTCTTTGATCAATCTTATATTTGGGGACAGAGTCTTTGCACACCCCTAAGTAATGGAGATCAGGGAGAAAGTAGCTGGAAGTCTGGGCAGCAAAATGAAATGATAAAGTATGCAAGAGTAACATAAAAATTAAAAGAAGAACATGAAAAGAGAGGAAGACAACATAAAAAGAACAGGGTAGAGTTAAACTTTCATAATTTCTCTCTCTCAAACTTTATGGCAACATCTTCATGCAAATTTGTCAACCAGCCATGCGCTGAAAGAAGCAATTGAAAAGCTGCAAAAGCTTGCAGCCCTGCAAATCCACTTAAAGTGTTAGATCAGAAGGCTGTGAGAGATGACATTATTGAAAAGGCAGCCCAAACAATGCTAGTAGCTGCTGTTGAGGGTTTGGGATTGCCAGTACCAATGCAGTAGCAAAAATCTGCTTTAGAAGCATGTACCAAAACAGCAGCTTTACCTCTGGCCCAGCGACCTGTCTCTCACAGGGCTGAAATGTGGCTTTCTTGACCTGGACATACACAAAGTATGGAAAATGCAGTTGTATTTTGAAGTAGAATAAATAGACAAATAAACCAGAACTAAATCCCAGTTTATAGACTATTAAAATTACAATTCTTATATTTTAAAAATTAAATTCCCTATGACTAATAATTATAATGCATCCTTCTATTTAAGAAAGTTAAGAAACTTGGAGGTGTCTGTGAATTAAAATTAATTCTAATGAAAAGTACACTTACTAATACTTATTACCTGAAGTATTGAAGTTATGATCTGAGAAATGCAATTATTCTGAAATGCTCTCAAATTACATTAACTTTCAAAATATAAATTATTCTTGTTCAATGTTTATATAATCAGAACAAAACTTTATTAATCCAACTTTATAGCATTCTTTAACAACTCTACTATGATCAGTGCTTCAGAAGCTAATCATGAAAAGGCTTTCTATGCTGTTCCAACTGTTATTAATAATAATTCAACAATTCCTACTTCTATCTTTCAACAAAAAATGCAATCAACTGAAAAATAAAATCAAAATCTTTTCTTCTCAATTTCTTCATTTCTATACCTTAATAATTTTGGATATTCAACAATTCTAGATGTATAATGACTGCAAAAATATTCACATGCTACTATAAAAGCTATTTAGTTATCATGCACATTATTATTGCACAAGCAGAAAACTATTACTAAATTCAGTTTTTTTTCACCAGCAAAACACAGCTCATCTTGAAAAGCTAAATACATCAGGAAATCCCAAGCTTGTCAGATATATTAGGTTAAAAAAAAATCACAGAAGGCGGCAACAGCCAATGACTTTCATTTTGTTTCCAAAAGAAGCATGTGTATATATGATGTATTTTATATGGTACTATATAGTACTCAGAAATTTAAAGCAATGCTCTGGACTCAGAACATAGAAATACTTTGATAAATAATATCTGAGTATTTTAATGAATGTTTAGTTCAGATTTAATCCAACATATCTACAATGCTACTGCAGAGTGTAATACCAAGTTCAGTAATTATTGAAAATACAAAAATATATTGTAATACTTTTAACAATGCAGAATTACCATTCCATCTTTAGTGATGGACTAAATGCCTTCTACTGACAGTAAATAAGTGAGTCATAACTAGCATGTATTATATATATATATAATATATTATATATATAT